ATAGATGATCTCTGGAGGTCTCTTTCAGCCCTACGTCTCTGTTTCTATGACTTAAATTCTTGATGGATGCTGTGCCATGCTGGGAGATGATTGAGTATCAGGACTGGATTTCCTTCCAAGAAAGCATAGGATGAATCAAAATAGGTCTGGCTCATCAAATGTGAGCTTTCCCTCCGCTGGAGTGAATCACTGGCACCCAGCTGTCCATGCAGGCTGCTCTGCTAACGGCCTGTATGGAGGATGCTCGCGGTACAGGGACAAGGAAGCGAATACCATCTTTGAAGAGTTGCATGCAAGATATGTGGAACTGGACTGGGTGATGCCAGAGATGTTACAGGATCTGTTCTAGGGATACTCTGGGCTTCAGAAGCATACCTCGTACATGAGGTACACAGCTTTATAGCATTAGGTAGAGAAAGGGACTGATCATGAGGGCTTGTGGGGGGAGGGGAACTTTGTAGAATTTGAACACTACTGCCCCTCTTCTGTAAGATAGGCCTCGTATGTAGGTAGAAATACTTGAATGACTCTGTCATGCAAGCCACTCACCTTCTTCCTCTCACTCCCCTGTTTTTACCTTGGTAGCACAAATCTGTTGCATCCCTTAACGGACAAGTTGGTTGATTGACTACTAACCTTGTTGCTTATTTCCCATCGCAGCAGCCACAGCTCTGCTAGAAACATCTCTGTTTTTTGGGATGTAAAATCTCTTGGATGGCTCCAGCTGGAATAGTAGAAGGACCTGAGAGAAACAGGAGAGTCCTATTGCTCCTCACTGAGGCATGGAATTGAGATACTGAGGAAGACTTCTGGTTTGGGGAGAAGAGGAGACTGGGGCAGGAGAAACTAGTATATCCAGGTGTTCTCAGAATGGGTGGGAAGAGAGACTTTAACTAGGAGCTCAAGAAAAGATACAGTAGGATGGATTGACTTGGCAGCCGGCCTCTGCCTGATTCAAACTGTTAATTGAGACGGAGTGTAGAGCAGGGACGGGCAATTATTTTGGGCAGAGAGCTGCTTACTGAGTTTCGGCAAGCCATTGAGGACTGTATGACAGGCAGCTCAGGGCAGACTAATATTAAATTTTCTAAATGTTTTAGGGGCCCCGTGGCCTGGATAGAATGGCCTGGCAGACCGCATGCGGGTCGCATTTTGCCCACCCCTGGTGTAGAGGGTAGACCAATAAACAGAACTCTCATCCAGCTGATGTCCAGCCGTTGCTCACTTCCTCATGAGCAGGGCAAGGAATACTGTAGTCCTAAGAAGATGAGCTCATTTTCTGTAAAATACTCTCCTTTTACTTGCAACAAATCCCTGTCTGCCTGGATGCTGCAGCTGGTGTGGGGTGTGGCTAAATAAAAATGCAGTGTGTATGTATATGGGAGGGGGAGGGGGAATGGAAAGAGGACTGTAAATAGAATATTTACCCTAGTACTCTGCAGTGTGGATGGATCAGCAGTTTCCTCGTCTCATCTGTTCTAACACGCACAACTGGCAAGCAATGAGAAATGCACAGAACCGTTACATGCATAATCTCACTGCCACTTCAACAACTGCTGGAATAAAGTGATTTAAGATCACAAGCCTTTTTGAAAATCAAGAGCACTTGTGCTCTTACGTTTCTCAGTTCTTGTGAAAATCCTGCCCATCACTGTCGACCATCTGGCCCTATTCCATCCAATCTTCCTTGACAAACAGCAATAATGGGATAAGAGTGAATAGAAGGAACAAATCCTGCCTGAGCGTAACAAAAAAGATTCTCAATAAAAATGGTAACAGTAAGCTAACAGACTTTTAGCATCTCCCCTCAGTTTCCTACCATCTGTGTGGTGATGTGTGCACAGTATTTTTAATTTGAGCAGTGTGCTGGCTGCAGGCTTGGGTAACAAGTAATAGCAGCTCCAGGTGCAAGAGCTTGCTTTTCTGTGCATCCATGGCTGTTTACTCACTCCCAAGCTCATTAGAGAGCTCATCTTCCCTTGCAATGTGACCCCAGCTGCAGTGGGCAAATGGAACAGCTCTGTTAGATATATATCTGTTTGAAATGTCTACTCATTCTTTTGATCTCCCACAAGCACACCACTGTTTGTTACCTCCTGAAATTGTAGCTGGCTCCACTCTCCTAGTGTTTGGGTCATGTGTGAATTCCTTCATGAGCTGCTTCAAAAGCCACCAGGCTAGGGTGACTAGAATGTCTAAGGGGCTAACAGTGCTGCCAGCGTGGGAAGAGAATCCTTTCCCCTTCTCTCTATCTTCAAAGTCCTGAAGTTTAAAAAAAAAAATTAGTATTAGGTACTTTACATAGCTGATGTCTTTGCACAGCAGGGCCCCTGCCACAGCTGTACCCTATTAAAGCTTGTAACACTACTGAGTTATATCCATTTGTGTTTATGTGCCCCTGGCCTGGTCGATGGGTTAAGAGTGAGCAGCTAATTAAAATCCCTTGTATTTACTGGAGAGACTAGCTCACTGTTATGTCCCTGTAATCATGATATATCCTGTAGAGCTTCATGAGAATATCAGCCACCAATGGATTTTTCTAACCACAAGCTGGATTCAATGGACTATTAACTAGGCAAGTTCAGGTTTCCATGGGCTGATTCCATTGTCCATGGGAGCAGAGCTGTTATCCAGTTAAGCAGGTCCCCTTCAGGTTGAAGTTCTGCTTTTTCCATAGACACAAAATAACTGTCTTCCTAACCTGGTCTGTCCTTAGAATATCATTCTCAACTACTGTACAGAGCTCCAGGAGTGGGAAGAACATACATAATGCAGTTTGAAGCATGTCACCTACCTTTTTTTTGTCTTGGGTATTCAGTAGCTATGTCCCCCTGCCTTGCTTTGCTCTTCAAGAGCTCCAAGAGAAGCTTTTGCTGTATGACAGCTGAGCACTCCTCCTGAATTCAGAGAAGGGCCAGGAAATTCTTTCAGCACCTTTTCCTTGGGAATTAAAGGAGTCTCCAATGACATTATGAGCTTTTTATCATCTGCCAATCCCCTTTAGTCCCTAGATCTACTGAGCTGGCTTGGAATTGTGGCATAGTGAATCTGTAGCACTGTGGTCCACAGTGGACCAGGGACAAAACTATTTGATGCAGCATGGTTAATTTTGCTGTGCTGCACTGTTGGCCTTTACATTGATGCCATCCCACTGGTTCAGCTGACAGTGGTTCATTTTTATAGCAAAGATGTGGTTTCAGACTGCTTGCTGTTCTCTGTTGCTGGTTTCTCCTTGCAGGACTCTGACTCCTCAGCAGAAAGGGGCATATAGTAGGCAAGATCAGTGAGTGCCAACAGGATCACAGCTAAATACATTTGGCTGCTATGATTCTCTCACTATGTTAGCACTTGCCCAGAAGGTCCTTGCAAAGCCCAGGTATCATGGTTATCATATTACAGCCTTGTGTTACAAGGTGCCCCATGCTCTTCTTGGCTCAGATATCTGTTACATGATATCAGTCTAGCTTTCTGATGTTTGCTGGCCTCTCCTCTACTTGCTTATTAGTTTGAGGTGTATGCTTTGATGACGCAGTCTGTCCTTTCTGCATCTTTTAGCTTTTAGTACCAACAAGATTTCTATGAGATCCATTGAGCCCTGATCTCATGCTGTCTGGACCTAATGAACTACATGTTTCTCTGAGTTTCCTGCTGCAAGCAGTCCCTTGACTTCATCCAGGTACTCCAACTCCTTAAAGCCTCTGACTAGTGCTAGGCTAAGATCTGTTCTTAACATTCTTCCCTCAGTTTAATTTTGAGGTGTTTAGACCCTCTTCTTTGTGGTTGTTGAATGGCTTTCCTTTAGAGATCTACCTGGAGGAAGCTGCTTTGCTTTTTAGAGCCTTCTAACTCAGTTCACTTCTAATGCTTGGTTTTAAAATGTCACCAGTGAGTTATCCTGTGCTGTAACTGTTGAGCTCAGTGCTGAGCAATATCATGCTGCCATGGGGTATATTTGCTCAGCGGTGGAATTTGAGTGGGGTGGGATCAGCAGAGTCCCAAGCCCACGGCCTGTGTTCTGTGTTTCTGGCATTCTTAAATGTTTGGTATTAATAGCTGAGGCAGTGTAAAGAATCCTAGAGGATTTGCTGAAAGCAGCTTAACAAGCTTGGTTGAAGGATTTATGTGCTCTCTCAAGAGATGCTGGTGAGTGGCACGTGTGTGAGGGTTAAAATACCAGCAAAGGAGGTGGGAGGAGGAATTCTCATGGGAGCAGTGAGCAGTGAGAGGTAGCCCAGATAAATGGAGTGCTGAGGCCTGTATAGTTGGTACTATAGGCATTTCATTCCACTATAAGCAGCAGTTACTGAGTCACATAGCAATGGGGCGTGATTGCGGGGTAAGTGGCAGGCACATTTTGTTAGTACACTGCCTCCTTTGGCTTCTTTTTGTCAGGTGAGTTAATGCAGCTGGGCACGACTGTGAGTGCGGTGCCTGGAGCAGCATTGAAAAGTCGGAGCATTTGCAAATCAGGCAAGGCGGTTCCCACATCGTGAATTTGCTGGTGATAAGGAGCGTTGGGCAGAAGGCTAAAAGAACAGAATCTTGGCATTTGGTGAGCCACGCAGGAAGAGTGTTCTTCTTCCAGGTACAGCCAAATGTCTTCATAGTTTAATAATACATTTTGTGTTGAGCTTGCACTCCCGCTGTTGTGCATTGGTTTGAGGTACAAAGGGGATTTGTAGCAATAGGATTCAGGAACAGGCAGAGCTGATGTGTGCAAGGCAATGGTCTATCCTCTGGACCAACCTGCTGGGCCAGGACTTGGGGGGCCTGCATTCTCCTCTTGAGTCTGCCACTGAGCTGCTGAGTGGCATGGACAAATCTCTTCTTTTTTTCCATGTCTCCTGTAAACCAGTTGAAAGTGCTTTCCTCCTTTGTAAAGTGTTTTGAGGTCTATTATATATGAGTCAGACATTTATTATAATACAGTTAAACTGTTCTAACTGTTCAGTGCAGCAATCTAAAAGCTGCTATTCTTTTCCCATTGCAGGTGGGCGGTAAAAATGGTGCAGAAGTATCAGTCGCCTGTTCGAGTCTACAAGTACCCTTTTGAGCTTGTCATGGCGGTGAGTGACACATTGTACTTCTACCCCCTTCCCAAACAGCTGAGCAACACTGAAGACTTGACAGTAACCTCTGGTTTATGAGCCATTTGGGTGATAGGAGGTGTGGGACTGCAGCTTCAGATGTCTTGTTGATGGATCACTTAGGGGAATTGTCTTGAAGATGTTCCAGGGGACAGACAGGTGTCTGTCTTCCATATTCTTGGCAGTTCTGCAGAAATAGTTTAATCTATTCAGCTAGTCTATTAGATATTTTTAATTCAGTAAAATTGGTTCATGAGATGACCTGAGCAAGGAAGCAGTGCCAGAAAGAGAGGAAATATAAATGCTGTCTTGATATATAGTTAGTTTTCAGTATAGGTATGTGCATGTACATGTTTGCGTCTCTATCAGCAGCCACCTATAATATAGAACTGTCCTTCATGGTTTATTCTTCAACACTGTGGCAAGCCACTGAGTCTGTCTGGTTAAGGGCTGTCAATGCTTTTAAAGAGGCACTTCACTCAGCCAGATGTGTGGTTATTACCAACCTCTTCAAATATCCTTTTGTTTAGAAACTCCCATTTCAAGGGAATATATTAATAAATTGGTAATGAGACAATTCCTAATGTATTTGAGTTCCATAGACTTGTCTGAGACCAACTCATCAGGCTTGAGAGATGTGTGTGGGCCTGAGACCCATGTAGTGAAGCATGATTAGAAGCTGTTAAAAATGTAGAAACATTTCTGCAAAAGATTTTTTTGTCTTTGTTTTTTCCTTTTCCTTTTTCCACCTGAAACATTGGCAGATTCTGCAGTTGCCAAAGTACGCTTTCCTGCTGGTGGTGCATAAGGGTAAGGTGGCCGTGCTAACTCTGTTAGCCAGATTGGCAGGCTTTAGTACTAATTACCAGGGATCCTGATTTTCTCTGATTTAAAAATTGCAAATTCTCTGATTAAAAACCCAAAATCCATGATAAAAATTAAAGCCCCCCCCCAGTCCTCCCCAGCACTGCTGGTGCCCCACGCTCCCCCACCACAGTCTCAACAGCCCATCTGATGCCCCTCACAACAGCCTCCCAGACCCACAGATATGCAGACAGACACTGACAACCACCCCAGCAGGTAAATGTGTGGGGAAGGGGGGGGAAGGGGCGGGGCGGGGCAGGGTGGGGGAAAGAGGAAGGTGTTGGGGGGGTAGATCAAGAAGGGGGAGAGTGTGCCTCTGTGCCCACTCCCAGGAGCAGGGCCAGGGGGTGAGGGCAGGGGTGCCACCCTGTGGGCCATGCACATGCCGGCTGGCCTGATGGGAGATTCGCACACAGAGGCCGCCACTGCAACTCTGCCGCTGCATCCTGCGCTACCATCCCACAGCCACCTGCATGGCTTTGTGGGCAAGTGGCACAGGGTGCAGCAGCGGCAGTGCGGTGGCACCCACCTTGTGTGGGCCACATATGTGCTGCCCGGCCGGGGGGTGAAACAGGGTGCCTGTATGCAGCGGCATGCCCTGCAACTGGCTGCATGGCTCTGCAGCGGTGCGGGGTGGTGGCTGCTGCATGCAGCGTGGGGGGGCTTTGCAGGCAAATGCTGCCA